CACATGGGCAAACAGGTGCATAGGCGTCGTCATAAACAGATGATTGGTCAGTCCCAGTGACAAGCAACATGAACAAACAAAACAAAGCGAGGGTCAAAACATGGCAAGACAAAGGAATCACAATAACAGTAAAACTAGACTCAGTGTGTTAGTCTGTGCTGCAGTTAAAGTCCAAGAAATCAGTTCATAACTATCATCAGGCTGTGTGTGTGTGTGTAATCAACAAGAAACAAGAACAGCTGTGAGTGTGTGGTGCATGACAGGAGTTGAAGTTCTTTTGGTGACAGATTTGTAGTTCTCCAGCAATCTATGTGGACTAGACCGCTGGTGACTGTGACAGTTATTCATTTATTCATTTTCTTTTCGACTTATTTTCTTTATTAATACGAAGTCACCACAGTGGAATGAACCAACTTATCCAGCATATGTTTTACGCAACGGTGGCTCTTTTAGCTCCAACCCATCACTGGGAAACACCCATACACTCCCATTCACACACATACACCATGGACAATTTGGTTATTTAATTCATCCAAACCGCATGTCTTTGGACTGTGGGGGAAACTGGAGCACCCAGAGGAAACCCACGTGAACACGGGGACAACATGCAAACTCCACACAGAAATGGCAACTGACCCAGCCGAGGCTCGAACCAGCAACTTTCTTGCCGTGAGGCGACAGCGCTACCCACTGCGCCACCCCGCCACCCAGCATGGTTATATTTGTTCAAAAATAAAATCAGTAAATTTTTGTTATATATTGTACAAACTATTTAATAATAATAATAAAATGTATCAAATAATTAATAATTATATAGTAATATTTAAAGAAAAAATTAGGAAAGAAAAAAATACTGCATATTTGCATATCTTGGGTTGCAAATATGTTTGTTTTTTTCTAATTGCCTATATAGAGGCCTAGGCTGTTAAATATGCATCCCTTCATTCATGTATTCATTGATTTATTCATTTTTCTTCAGCTTAGCCCCTTATTTATTATGAATTGCCACAGTGGAATGAAATGCCAGCTGTTCTTGCATATGCTTTATTCAGCAGATGCCCTTCCAGCTGCAACCCAGTAATGGAAAACACCCATACACACAAGCATTCACACACAGGCCAATTTAGTTTATTCAATTCACCTTTGGACTGCGGGGGGAAACTGGAGCACCCGGAGGAAACCCATGCGAACACGGGGAGAACATGCAAACAGAAATGGCAACTGGCCCAGCCAGGACTCGAACCAGTAACCTTCTTGCTGTGAGGCAACAGTGCTAACCACTGTGCCCCCATGCCACCCTGCATTCCTTCATGTGTTTGTTAATGTATGATGATTGTTTTTGCGTAGCTACAACATTTTTCACTGGACAGACCTGGTTCATTGGTTTGGTTGCAAAAGTTATCACTCCAGTTTCAACGGTCTGACTCCTGAATGGATTTTTATGAAGTAGCTATTGAATCAACACTTCCATAATACACTTTTTAGCACTCTAGCCAAATAATCACTCTGGGAAATTGCTGCTTCCAACAGTATAAATAGGTGGAAAAATCTCCCTGTCTGCCACCGTGAAGAGAAAATGCAATAAACCTATAACACAGCAGGAAAGACAGTGATTACAGAGGTCATAAAAATACATATTAAGAGCCATGCATCTTCAAAAGGGACAATCTCTTTTTAAAAAAAAAGAGAAGAAGCTTCATTTGTGTATTTATATCTTTGGCAATGAATACATTTCAGAGAGAGATTGATTTTTAGAGCCTAACATCAATTGGAGAAATGTTGCCCTTCCTGCATCTGAGATGTAATGAAGAAATGAACTATTGCACCTCAATATCTGATTCTGAGAGGAGAGTCTGTCTTGGTTTATTACTCGCCTTTTATCTTTGTTCTTTTATCTCTCAAACAACCTGAAGAGCCCCTTCTACTAGTTGATTCTGGTGTATGTGTGTGTTCTTTGTTCAGACCAATATTACAAATAGAAAGATCTTCTGTACGATTGTTTTTGTGAGCTCATCTTTCCTCACTGAAGTGAAAGTTATCACAGAGTTATCACAGTAATTTCACAATTTTTAAGGAACACTGAGCCTCATTTACCAATATCTGATTTAATTAATTTGTTCTTAAGAAATGTCTTAAGCAGCACAATAGGGTATATGCCGAGCTACTGTTTTTCCCATACTGATTAACTTCCGGTGACCAGTTATTGTGAACTTTTTTTCCATTTTATACGGTTCCTTTTACAGCATCGATGTTGTAATGTCATTAAAATACATTCAGTTAAATAAACTTTGGCATTCATTTAGTTGCTCAAGCGTAAAACGAGACAAAAAGCTGTTTACTCGCACGCGCCTGGTCAGAATCGGCAGGCTAGTGGAAAAGCTCCATTGAATATACTGGGGTAAAATAAATGCTCATATTATAAAGACATGGCATGGGGAAATGTAATTTAGTGCAGTGCTTCTTGTACAATCTGAGACCCACTTTATATTGGATATCACTCAGATAGTGGAGATTGCAGATTTTTAAAGAAAACAGCCCTTAAAAGCGTTGGTTTTTGCATTGGCATACAGTTCGACGGAAGCGCTTAACCCAGGTTACTGGCAAATTAAAAGTCCTATTTGCATGCTTCGGCATATACCCTATTGTTAGCAGCTGTGTTCATGTATGACTATTTCATCTAAAAATGAAAATTGCCCCATAATTTTCTCAGCCTGTAGTCATCCTTGGTTTATATGACTTTTTTTCTGTCAGACAAACACAGTTGGGGTAAAATTTATCCTGAACTGTAAAGAAAAAATATATATTAGAGCTTTAAATATTTTAGTTGAATCAAATGAAATTTCCTAGTCATCTCAACTTGCATTAGTTAAACTGACTAAAAATATGGAATTAAACATATTAACTTATTAAAATAAGTTTGGTAACGTACCTGTAAAAATATTTGCTATTAGGAATTTTTGTCATATAATAAAATATTTTCTTTCATGCTGGAAGCTTTTATTTTGAAGCTTCCAAAACAACCTTATAACCTATGTGTGCCGAAATGTCTGTCTTTTGTTTTGTTTCTTTTAACCCGTCCAATGCCAGTATAGCCAATTATATTTCAGCACCTGGATTTGTGTTTGTTGACCATCAGTTTAGACAATGTTCGCACCTGTCAGCTTTTATTGTGTGGAAAACTTGATTATTTTGAGCTTTTGTCAGCTAATTTTATCTTCTGGGTTTAAAATAATTTTTGGGACCGGATCAAAATCGGCAGTGTAGCGCAAAACTGCAAAGACGCGTCGGTATCTCAATATTATTAATAGCGGAGTTTTCTTATCCTATGAGAAGAGCCTGCTTCTTGATTATTCATACCTGCACGCGCTTTCCGAAGGCAAGGCAGACATGCCAGTGCCAAGCTGTGAGACACGTTGATGACTGGGTGAGACCGCGTCCACGGGCCCACGGCAAACAGTATTTAGCTGTTCATGAAGGTTTGGTTGTGTTTGTTTCCATGATCCACGAGGTTTGTTGCATGTTTTCCTCGCAATGCTGTCAGGGCCAATACAGCAAAGTTGTTTGTGTGCAATAGAGGTCTGCATTCCCGCGGCTGTCCCGCGGGCGCTGCGGGACCCGACCAGATTTCTACGGCGCGGGTAGAAATTTCCGAATAAATCACGGGAGCGGTCGGTAACGGGTTTAATTTGGGACGGGAGCGGGCTGTCTAGCAATATCGCTCCCGACTCCCGAGTGAGCACGCGTATGTATGTGTGTAAATGAAATAGCGCGATGCTGTGTTTAGCTTGTTTGTTGCAGTGTGTGTGTGTATGTATGCGCACGCGGGACATCAAGTGCTTAATATAAGCGGGAGCGGTCGGGTTCCGGCTAAAACCTGGCGGGTGCGGGCGGGAGCGGGATTCAAAATTTAGTCCCGCGCAGATCTCTAGTGTGCAACAAGCATTTTTGTCGGGAGAGCAGTATACAAGAATTAGAGAATGGCAGACATTGTCTTTTATCAGTAGTTCGTTCACACTTAGACACATCCCTGTGCTTCTGTGTTTGCCTAAATCCTCTAGACTACTAACAGGGCTAATTGTTAAAATAGACAGGGCACTAAGTCTGCATTCAGACCCGGGGATTGAGAGAAAAGTCCTCATTTATAGTATTTATATGGGCGTAACTATCTTTATAATGATATAAATTGTGGTTATGTGTATATGAAATTACAAATAACAAATGTAGCTGGGCTTTCAATTACTGTTTATTTCTTTGCATTTAACTTAAAATCATGCGTCTCCACACGGTTTATGTCCCTCCTTCTTCCTTGCTGGGTGTAAAATTTACAAACTGCACCTTCAAAAAAAATGATCTGTGGGATACTTTAACTTCACAGAAACATTTTGAGGAAACATGTGACTTCTTAAAAAGATCCAAAAAAAAAGTATATGGCCCCTTTTACTATTAACTCTTGTTTTCACTAATACTTAAAGTGAAGTTAATGTTAAAAAAAACTGCCAATGAATCTTGTTTTGAATGCTTTATTAAAGCATTTAGGGCAGGGTATTTTCCCCTTACTAAGTTGTGTGAAGTTTGGCTCTGATATTTAACTTTAGCATTCATTAGCAGATAATTATTTTTCAAGCTGTCCGTTAATGAAAAAAAAAAAAAAACTGCCTTAATGTTCCACAATCACAGTCTTTTGAGGAGAGAATAGAGCAATCAGGCTGCTATTAAACATCTTATTTGCATATTATTCTGCTTTAATTAAGGAAAAGTGATTGTAAGTTGCAAGATAAAAGGAAACCGGGATATTCCTGCTCTTCGAACAAACCATGATAATTATTCCGATATATTTATTTTGATTCATAACAATTCATTTAATTGCATATTTTCATGTATTAAAATTAGATGTTTAATAAATATCCATGTTTATTGAGAAAGATTATGTGCTATTCAAATAGAACAGGGAATGTTTATTTTATTATTAGACGCATGATTAATGTTTTTGCTTAATTTAG